AATTTTGGTTTTTATCAACTACTATTTTTTGCTATATTATCTGGAAGTAAAATCCTATTGGAGTGAATATGGAGTGAAGCATAGAAACCTTAAAATATTTATACAACATTAAAATATATTTAAACCTTAATTTATGTATTTAACATTTTTCACATCTTATAATTTGAATTAAAATTAAACTAAATTCTATTATAAAAAAGTATCGGAAATGTATGGCAATAAGAATACGATAGTATACAGTGTTGCCAATATATTTTGAGCAATTACTCTATTTTTAGCCGTTTAAACCAATATTAGCCGACTAAAAATCGGCTAAACCGAGTTGAATGATTTGTGATTCATTAAATAACTTTATCTAATTTAGAAATACTTACCAATGAATTTTCCTTAGATATATTAAATCTTGATATTGAAAAAATTTTCTTTTAGCTCAATTTTTAGAGGATGTGTATCTGAATGCAAATCAATTTTAACATTTGAATCTTGGTATAAACGATTAGTTTTCGTAGATGAGGTTTGTATTCATAAGTTTCCTGTGTAAAAAAATGAATTGGGAATCTCAATGGAATAGCAAGACTAAAAATTTATTAATTGCATACGTTTTAGATGGTTAACCCGCCGACAAAAAGGCTTTCAATTATTTATAATACTAACATCAACACGAACAGAATATACTTATTTAACACAGCCATTTAAAATTAAAATTAGTACTTCCCCTATCCCATAAAGTAATTAAATATATGCGAAATTTCTTGGGTATGGGCCTTTACTTTGCCCAACTCATTTTATCTTAGCCTATTGACGTTTAAATGATGGTCTTGGACTGTTGTGCGTACAAGTACCTGGAGATTGCTAACAAAAGTGCAGAGGGCTCCTCATTTTTAATTTTTGACCCAACTTAATTTATTCTAATTATATGGAAATGAGCAATATCTAGCCTAGCTGTTGAACTATAAGCGATAGAGGGCAAAAGCGCTTTAAATCAAGTAATTATAATAGATAATCCTCCAAGAAATTCCGTGGAAGTATTGCATATTTCTAAATATATTTTCGAATTTTTTCCAAATATATTAAAATTATTGTATATTTTGGCAACAATGCCAATTAGTTACGAGCACAAATGAGAGGCCTTTACCTTATTATAGAGAATAAAGATCTATCTCAGAATACAACAGAAAATCGAATGAATGACTAGCTTTAAATATACATCTAGATGTAATCCTCATGAAACATTTGCATAATCGGAGGGGATAAAAAATTTATATATGAAGGATATTTTAATTATAAATCATCATATATAATGTTTAATTCTATATTTTATTATGATTTATATTGTTGATCTGCATCGGGCCTAATTTTAGCCTGATCAGAATTTATTTAAATATAAAAAAAATTTAATTTTTTTTAATTTAAATAAAAAATATTGCCGCTTTGTTTATTTCAAGAATTTTGAAGTATATCAATTTATTTCACAATATAGAATATCTTTAAAAATTTAAGCCCGATCCGACCCAACATTTTTTAAAAAATATTAGGCCAGGCCAAATTATTTTAAAAAATAGGAATTTGAAGATCTTCCGCTGTGTTGTCCTAAATATATTTAAAAAACCTCAAAATTTATAAATTTTCCCAAATTAATAAAATAATAAAACATGTCCGAAATCTTTCACTAATTTTTTTTTAAGTTTATTTAAAATTCAAATAAAGAACAGGAAAAAAATAAAAAAAACGAAAATAACAAGGCCTACAAACACTTTAATATTACTTACTAGTTTTTTTTAATAATTTATAAAGTTTAAGCAGAATTTTATTATAATTTATTTATTTCTATTAATAATAAATTTTTGTAAAGACGAAAAATGATTTTGAACATTATTTCATTTTTATATTAAAAATTAAATTTATTTATTTATATGTTTAATATTTAGAGCACATCCTTATCAATTTTATATTCGTTAATATTTTCTATTCCAAAATTTTATTATTCGAATCGAAATTACCTTTTATATGATGATAAAGTTGTAATAATTTTTAATGTTCCAAAAAAAATCACTTGAATATTAAATAATGCCCCCCCCCCCATCCTTACGTTGAAAATTTATAGCTACGCGCCTTATTTTATTTGCTAATAAATAAAAATATGTCCAAAAGACTTACCTTTTCAGAAAATTTAATATTTAAAGCGGTGTCGATATTAAAATGACCAATTTATAAATGTGTATAACAGCGACCTGCAGGCTCTGCCCGTATTTTAATTTTTTTAAATATACCCGGGCCAGGTTTAAAATTTTTTTAAAAAAAATACCCGGGCTGGGCCGTATATTTTAAATAGCCAAAATTAGCTATAAAAATTAAAAATAAATATAATATATTTTAAAAAAATCAAGGGAGGGCCAAAATATTTTTTTTTAAATCATGGTCAGGCAAATAGTACCTCTACAGGTCTCTAGAGTAAATCTTAAAATTAGCATCAGATTGACAGCTTATTTTTTATGCATAAACATCTTGCCTCGGAATATTGATATAACATTAAAACCTTTTATAAAATAAAATTATTGTAAATAGGCGTAAGAATTGGCCATCAAAAATTTGTTCGGGATCAATTCGGCAAAAAATTGTTAAAACACGATCCAAATAGGCTCTATAAATTCACCAAATGCTGACTCTTCCTTAAAATATTTGTTTGATAAATTATTTTAAAGTTTTATTTACATTCTAAGATAGTTATGCCATAAATAAATTAGTGCCTTATCTTGTGGCAGTTCTACATATGGATATAAATTTCCCGGGAAACTATAATTGAGAGAAATTTTTTCTAAAAAAAATTTATTTCATAGGTCAATATTGATTTTTTATATTTATCATATAGACTATTAATATGTTATTTAAACAAAAATGGTATAATTTTTATTATAATTTGGTATCTTCGTTTGAAAAGATTCCAGATCTCTAATCATGCAATTTGTCATTTGTCTAGCAACATCTAAATCTAGGTAACTAAAAAATCGGTTTATAACATTTAATCCTTTTCAACTTGTCTTTAAAATTAAATCCACAATATCTTGTGTCAAGTATATAGCAGGTTAATGTAATGTATGTCCCGGCAACATAAAATTTTCCTATTTTTATTATAAATTGTTTGATTTTCCAAGTATATAGCAGGTTAATGTAATGTATGTCCCGGCAACATAAAATTTTCTTATTTTTATTATAAATTGTTTGATTTTCTTTCCGTAAGAGATTTCCCCTATATGAATAATTGCTTGAGGAATCTCAGATGTTTGATTTGTCCACTTCGATTTCTTCTATTTATGCTGATATATATTGTATAGATGTGCAAGATCATTTAAAAAACTTCATTATCAAGAAGACTACATCTCTTATCCCTACAAAAATATGGAGTCGTGCCACAGAATATAATAATTTTTAACAGACTATTAATTATCATAACTATACTTTCCAAAGAGACGGGTGGGCTAGGCAACTTTAAGGAAACAATTCTATTTTTATCTTTAGATAGTTGTTTCTCCTTAAGTGTGTAAAAGAAAGTTGAATTTTACATATTCTATAATAACTTGTATTTTTGATACTAAAATTTAAATTGGCATTTTATTTGCTAGATCCTTTAAAATCAAATTAAGTCCATGAGATGCAGATCCAATGCATTCGATAATTGGAATTTTAATTCTCACAATGTTCAGGCTTTCGTCATTACTTGCATTATTTATCATGTTAATTTTTGAGTTTTCTATATCTACAATTACTTTAATAAATTCACTAGATATACATATTCTCCCGTATGCATATTGGTCCCTGTTTCAATTAATTAATAGAAAATGGGACTTGGGATTGCTATAATAAAATTTACAATACATCTCATTAAGATATTTGTCCACCCATCATTAATAAGGGTCAAATTTTTATTTTATCTTTCTACTATATTTTTAATCGTTTCATATTCACTGTTTAACAAATTTTTACTGAGTAAATAAATATCTTGAGAGCATTTTAAATGTTGTTTTTAAAGATTAAAAAATTTATTCCAAATACATGGTGCATTTGAATAATTTCATAGAAAAATAGCTGTTGCGAAATTATCAATATATTTCATTAGAATATTTTTCAAAAATATAATTATTATTAGTTGAATTAAAATTAGAAAAGGAAGTTGACCTATTCCTATATCTATTTAACCTTTAATCCTACTCCTTATATCATTTATTAAAAAATTTAAATATTACCGAAAATGGATGTACATATAAAAACAAGACATAATTATGATATATAAATCAAGAGGAAAATATATCTTTCTAAAATATGATTAAAATTCGATTATTTGATCAAAAAATAAAATAAAAGTTAGGGAAACTAAAAGGGAAATTTCGTTTTACAGGGTAATTTTCCATATGTTACATCTCTGGTTCTAAGACACGCACATTTATAACCACCATTTTAATATCGGCAATTCAAAAATAATAATAAGAAATAGTTTTCAAAAAAATAATGTTGATTTAAACTTGCAGGTTAGTTGAAAGTCAAGGCTTCCTTGAATTGGACACTGTTTAGGACTTTATTAAAGACCCACCATACAGTGGGAAAGAACATTGAAATGGATAAGTAAGTGTAAACCAAAAAACAAAACTGCACTTATTGTTTATAACATTCATTTTAAAGAATCGGTTTTACATAAGGGTGAATCCCGAATAAGTTTTGCTAGTATAGTCTCATGATGATATATAAGGTTTCTAAATATGAATCGCATATATAATTAATGGTTTATTAACCCAAATTACTATTATAATTCAATTTAATTATTTATCTTGCTTAAAGCTAATCCAGCTCAGTCTAATTTATTTTCTAACCTCACAATAGGAAACTATTATTTTCAAAAAAAATTGTATTAATAAATTTCATTTATGGATATCAAGAAAAATATCTTAAAATTTAAAGTATAAATTCTGAAGATAGGAAAAAATTTTGAATTAAAAAGAAGTCATCACTTTTATTGAATGGAAAACATTGAAATATATTTTTAGTTTCAGTATCAATATAATAATATATCAAAATGTATAAACTATATAAATAAAATATATATTTCAAAAATAGACATGTTTCCCACAAAATATTTAAAAATTATCAATATAATTTGAAAAATCTTTGAGAATTCAAGCTTTTTGTCTTGTGACAGTCAAAACTGCTTTCGGAACCAAGCCTTGAAATAATATTAAAACATTATTTTATATTATTTCTAAAACTATACATAAAATATATGTTGTTTTAATCATATAAATATTTTATTGTTGCAAACATTATTATTATCAGAGGGTTAATAAATAAATATAATTAGATAAAATATACTTAATGAAATCTCTATTAAAGGTCTGCAATGGTCATGTTTTTAGCCCGCCCGCTTATTCTATGTGAGAGCGTGAGCAAGCTTTCTAAAAAAATTTAAATATCAAGCGGGTGAGTGGGCAGGTTAAAAAATACTTTTAAAAAATTAATGGGTGAATTTTAAATATTTTTCGAGCAAAATGAGCAGAACAGACGTCTATTTATTCTATTTTATTTCATAATATTGCATATTTTATAAGTTTAAAGAAAAAATACATTAAAAATAAATAAAGAACCAAACAAATCATTAAAATAATAAAAATTGGACGGGCGGGTTAAACAAAATTTTAGATAAATGTGCGTGCAGGTAAATTTAAAAAAAAGGACTGGCAAGCGTATTAAATTTTTTAAAAATGGACGGGTGGGTAAAAAATATGAATTTCTGATTTCTTACCCAGTTCAGATAATGGTTTCGACATGTCCCCTTCTGAAAATACCCTCTTTGGAAAGGGGGTCATAAGGCTAACGGGAAGAGGAGATTGAGCCGTGTCATCAAAATTATGAGTCGAATTCATTAAAACAAAAAGTCTCACCGCCGCTAATTCCTCCTTAGCACCAAAACTGTGTTTCAAAATTTTCCCGTCTATCATTCGGATCTATTTTAATAACGATAATATTTTTTTTATGATTATCCTATTTCTTTTCCCACCTTATGCAGCGTGGTAATCACGGGACAGTTATGGAAGTCTATCCAAACAAATTTATGCATTCCAAAAAAGAAATTTATATTAAAAAAATTAAATCCGTTTTATGCAAAAATTATAATTAAAAAATAAGGGAAAATCACAAAAATTGCCATTTACACCATTCCCTTTCCTTAATTTCCACCTTCATTACTTAGTAAAATTTAATTTAAGAATTTTTTTAACCTGTAAATCACATTTGTCGTACTCCTTCTTATCCAAACCGTTGCCTCTGAATACTATATCGTCATTTTCGGTAATTTGTTGATTTTCTTTGACAGATTCATGATTGTAACTATTGGTGGAAGGACAATTGTTGAGAGAATCAATAGGATTGACTTGATCAGACTCGATATAATTAAACTATGATTTTTTTAAAATTTATATAATAAAATTATTAACATCTTATAAAAAATGATTAATGTTTGAAATAGAGGTTTACAACAAAAAATAATATGGTTATTTCATAATATTGCATATTTTATAAGTTTAAGTAAAAGCATATATAAAATAAATGAAGGGCTAAACTAAGCCAACCAATAAAATAATTTTTTATAATTGAGCAAGCAAGCGAGTTAAAATCAATTCTTAGATAAATGAGTGGGAGGGTTAATTAAAAAATTATTCGTGGGGGAGCGGATTAAAATTTTGTAAAACAACGGGTGAGTGGTCGTTCGTGTTAAAATGTTATTGGAATTCTAATATTTCGAATCTCATAAAATTAAGTTTTTCTTATAATTGTGAAAAGATCAATTAAAATTTTGCTATAAATGGATTTTTTAAAATTAACTTCCAATATTGAGCATTCCCATCTATATAATATAATCTTTACAAAATGACAATTACAAATCGAGTTTCCAACTATCAAAAATAAATTACAAAATAAAATAGCGCTTCAATAAAGCTATCTTATTGGGATTTATTAAAAATAAATAAGTCATACAAATATTTATATTTAATTGTCTATTAGTCGTCAGGGGTATTCAAATATCAGAATCGAAATGTAAATTAGTAGGTCTCGACACCTTCTTTTTTTAAAGCGTACAACTTAATGTATTGGATTCGCTATGCGTGGTGAAAGCCTGTACTATTTTATATTTAAGCGAAGCGTTTTTTGAGAGTACTCAAAATTAAGCTTAAATCACAGGACCTAATGACGTGACCGTTAATGGTTTAAACCCAACTCCTATGTATAATATTTAAAAATTAATAATCTATAATATCTGACCTCCTCCCTCCTGTTACTAAAAATATATATCTAAAATAAAAAGTGTCAAAAAATGATTAACCTTTTTCATTCGGTCCATTTTATCCCTCTCTATCAAATCTTTGATGCGTTGTCTGTCATATAAAAATATGAAAATCATGAATTTAATAAGAGGAAAAGACAATTTTAACTCGATATTGCATAAGGTATTATCTAAAGTAACATACTGCCCAAAATGTAATTAGTTAAAAAGCATTATTAATATTAAGATTGTTACGGGACTTCTCAACAATTACATTAATTGAAATGTGACTTACTCAAATCCAATACTATAGTTAATTTATTTTTTAAAAAAGATGGTAATTAGAAAGGAAAAAATGATCATAATAATATTATATTTAATTATTAAAAAAAACTGAGGACATTTTATTTGCAATATTATAAACAGAATCTATTCACTATATTATATTAAAATTTTATGGGTAATTTAATTTACAAAAATTACAAGAAGTTTGAAACTTAAATCTACTGATAAACTATTTTAATCGCTATTTCGAATATTACAGAAAACAAACTCTAAATTTAATGTAAATCCGATTATCCATGATTAACGTTTACATATTTATGCAATAGAAATTTTATTTTTCTATAATCGCCATTTTAAATTTAACTAAAAAAAAATATTTCTATAATAAATGATATATTTTTCAAGAATAAATAGATAGAGAGAATTCATAACATTAAAAATCAATAAGTAGTAGTCTCCAGAAATAACGTCACTATGGAAGGCACAGGGCTCATGCACTTAAAAATTTGAATCATGTTTGAACAATATCGGCACTTTAAAACATTGTTATTTTATATTAAATGTTAATTATTTCAGATATAAAAAATTTTCATGGGGCTCGAGCCACTCTGTCACAATAATTCCCTCGAATATCATGTTGGCTTTCATCATGCTCTCTAAGAGGACGCTATAAATTACCACATAATTATCCTTTAAGAATTGTTGATTTAATTAACAACAAATTTTCACATAATGCTTCCTATCAAAGATTGCTTAAAATGACACCAGAGAATTAAATTTGTAGTATGATCTTTGGTCAAAGAGAGAGCTACTAAGAATTTTTTGCCTTTTAAATCATTAATAATCTTTATCAAAAAGATATCCTTGTTGAGACTGTGCGCGAAAATTTAGGCACTATTTTCTCCTAATCCACTATATGGGTATAACCTAATATAGGCTGAGAAGGCCCAGATGTCTTAGTGCCCAGATCAAGCTTTTCTAAAAATAGTGACAAATATTAATATGGAAAGAAATATTTTTAAATAAATTTTAACAATCTAAAATTTAATATAAAATGTGCCGCTATTGTTTAAAACTTGGGAAGAGAAAATAGTTCCTTTTTAAGTACTAATGTGTATTACCTGGATGTTTATATAAAATTAAAAATGGATAATAATCTTTCAAGCAATTAATTATTTTACAATTATTCACCCATTATTGCTTATCTACCTTAAATCATGTCCTAATTTTTATTTGGTTAAGATTACTATTTTTCCTTATTAATTTCTTCTTTCATATAATGTTTAAAATGGCTACAGTTATTTATATTTGTTGCATGACATTTTATCAAAGTGTGCTAAGAATTCTATTGCCTTGCGAAGTTTATTAAATCTTGTGTAGGAAAAAAAGTGACATTTTTTATTACTTTTGTAATGTTTTCATTCAAATATTTTTATCCAATATCAAATATCTAACACTCTTTGATACTATAACAATTATAATGCTCAATGAAAAACTCTTTCAAGATCAACTAATTCACTTAGGATCATCGGTTGGAGGCAACTCAGCTGTTTGCACCGTTCTGGATTCAACCCATGAGACTCTTATCAAATTGTGTGATATCCTTTTCCTCAGTGGCCCCTACAACGGGGGGGGGGTCCGAAGCAACTGCTTAAGTAAATTTGAGTGGGGGTACTTTTTTAATTATTTAATTCTTTTACTGTTTTGTTACATCCACCATGATCAAGTGATTTCTGGTTTATAAATGTAATAATAAGACCCCCCCCCCTCCCAACTTAATATTTAATTTAATATAAATTGACGGAAACTTTGGTCGATGTTTAGTAAATTAAGTTGTTATCCGAGATTTCTTGTCATAAATTATTTTTCCAATTTTATAATATGCCTAAAAATATTAACCAAAAAAAATACAAATGCCTAATTAAAAATTGCAAATCGCATAATATAAGAGATGATTAGAAACTGGATTACTTATAGTATTAAAATGAATATAGGGTTTTGCTTAACATGTCTCTTATTTGGAGGTCTACACACAAATTCAAAATGGACATGTGAAGGTCTAGATAAATGGCAGAATATTAATCGTGATATTATTCTGCATGAATCTTCACAGGCACATATGATAGCCGATTATGGAAGGCTTTCTCACAATAAAAATTCAATATTATAATTTTTAACACCCCAGAAAGAATGTGTAGATAATAACCGTTCTATCATAAGAATTAAAATAAGATGTTTAGATTATTTAATATCTCGTAACCAAGCCTTCTAGGGGAACAGGCAACAAGAAGACAATATGATGGCCCTTATTAAGCTTATTGCAGATTCTGAACCTGTACTAAAAATGTATATACAACAAAATGAAGAAAGAAAAAGGGATTAAAAACGAAATTATATTCAAATTTATTATCATATAATAACATAAATATTCTCATTGAAATCATGAAAAATATGGTTATAAAAAAATTCAAAATCATTTAACAGGTGCTTTTCAATCATAGTTGATGGCACATATGATGTTTCAAAATCAGAAGCAATAGCTTTGATAGTAAGATATGTTGAAAATAGTGAGACGCCGAAGCCTGTTGAAAGACTGATTGACATATATTGTAGGGGAAATATAACAGGTCTCGATATTAAGCATAATATAATATCCAAACTCGGCTCGATTAATTTACCCCTTGAATTTCAAGTAGGGCAAAGTTATGATGGCGCCTCAAACATGAGTGGAAGAATCAATAGTGTGCAGGCCTTGATTAAAGCAGAGGCGCCAAAGGCAGCTTTTATGCCTTATTGTCATCGATTAAATTTAATCATTGTTCAATTATGCCAATCAATTAAAGAACTTCGAAATGTTCTAGGAATACTAGATGAGATTTATATCTATTTTAATGGTGTAAAAAGATATGAGATACTCAAAAAATGTCAGTGTAATGGTCTGAAAAAATCGCAACGATTTCTACGCATCAAGAACCACTCGGTAATAGTATTTTATTTATTTAGATTTAAAATGTTTTTTTCATTTAGAAGCTGGCTATCGTCATATAAAGCTATTGTAAAATTTTTTCTACTTTATGATGCCTTGAGGGCAGCTTTAAAGGATTCTGAAGATCCTGCCACTTCCATTATGGCGTTCTATAGTCTTTAGAATAGAAAAATTTGATTTTATCTTATCACTTTGTGTTTTGGATAAAATATTTTGGCTTGTACAAAATTGCAAACCATTTCGAAGGATTAGGGTTTGCAATAAATCAAATTCAATTGGCAAAAGATTGCTTGATTAATTTGAGAAGTATAATATAAATTATTGTCTTAATTATTTTTTAATCTAATAGATAATAACACTGAATTTTTGGATGTTTTTTCAAAGGCACAAGATTTTGTGAAAGAGAAAAATCTACCTTTTGATTTTGAAAGTTCTAGACTTCAAACATTACAATCCAAAAAGGAGAGGTATATATACTTTCATCATTAAATATAGAAATTTTTTTAGCTTTAAAATAGGTGTGTTTTATACTGCACTCGATTTAATTATTATGCAGTTTAACGAAAGATTTAATGATGATTAGATGAAATTTTTACATCAAACATCATTTTTAACGCCAAAGGGAATGGCAGAAAAATCAATTATTAAAAAGATATCGAGGATATCTGTGAATTTTACAATTTAAATTCAAGTCAAATTTTCGAAGAAATGTTGAAGTTTAGAAATCTTTATAAGATGGCCAAAATGTGGAATGTAATTATTACTCTTTTCAGGGGGGTATTCTGCTTCATTCGCTCAGAAAGTGTAGGGGCCACTGCTTTTCCTCCTTTCCTCTCTTTTTTTTGTTGAACAGCTTTTAATATACCGCGCATTCTTTACACTCTAAGGATTACTCCTGTTTAAAATATCCTGGCCCTTTGGAAGTATATGAAACGGGAATCAAGGTACTTACCGAAGACATGTTTGGACTCAAGCAACTCTCCCAAAAAAATTCACGGTTTTGGCATCAGATCTTCTGACTTAGCTTTAACATTCTTTATCTCAAGTTGATTATTAACACCAATTATTACCGTTCACTCTCCTGTGGACGATTCGTCGTATACTAAGGCATTAGATCTATGGAGATCTAGAATTTGATACCCCTTAAGAGAGGTCAATTTCTAGATTGGGACTATTCCTGTATAAATCCCCAAGCCCTTACATCTTAGCAAAAACATCTTGGACATCAAAGAGCTATCCAAAATTAATAAATATCCAGAAATATACAATGAACACATTTTTATACCTATAATCTCTTCTACATTAACCGAATTTGGCAGCCATGCTTTTACCTTCAAGGAACTCGGTTCTATTATTCGTAAAACCACTGATGAAACTAGGTAAGGTTTTTACCTTAAGCAAAGACTCTCCATTGCTATTCATAAATCGAATTACACCTGTTTCATTGGAAGCCTCCTTCCTAAGGAGCTTACATAACTTTTTTTAATAATCCTTTTACTTATTTTATTTTTTTTGTATATCCTTTTTACATATATAAATTTTATCATTGCTTAAAAAAATGTCTTCTATTTGACCTTCATTATATATGTTTTTTACAACATATATGTATATATACATAATAGATCGAAAAATGTAAGAATTTGAATACTAAATCAAGGTTTGTTAATTTTAATTAAAAGGATATAAGATGTTAAAAAGAAACCCGATCGAAGCCCGGGGAAAAAAATAGTGACGTCCCTGCGGGCAATAAAACAGCAACAATTTTAAAACTCTATCTTTATTTTCATAAAAATCTAAAATAACTTGGCCATTTGATCTTCCATTTTTTCCCTTTTCCTTTCATCCGCCATTTTGAGCAATTCTTGTTCCCTTATCCTAATGTAATATAAAAAAATTTAAATATTTCAATTTTTTTAAATAATATATACTGATAATAACAATTTAATAATTAATAATTAAAATTTTGTTGCAGCAACTAAGCACAACCTTAGAATCAAGCCCAAAGCTTAAAAATGGAGGGAATTTATTTTTCACTCAACTAATACATATGTGAGAGATAACATGAAGAGTTTGTTTAGTTCTTAAATTTAAATTTTTGCATAAGTAATTCCCCGATTTTGAATATAATATATGCCTTGAATCGGGCTTGATAAATGTTTCAAATTTCATCAGCATTCGAGTCATTTCGCTGATTTAATATGAGACAAAACGGAAAAGAATTCTAAGGGTATGTTCGAGAAGACGAAGTTTTCGACATCTAGCTGGACTCCCAATCCAATATTAATTTCCTTAAAAGATGAATCCAAATTATCCGTTAAGTGTAACCTCTGATACAAATATCTAAGCGAATCGATTTAAGAACACATTTTATCAATTTTAGTGTATTTTTGAAATATTATTATGTGATCAATATTAAATTATTTGTTCATTACTAAAATTGATGCTGTAATCATATTTAAATCAATTAAATAATATTGTATTATTGCTGTCGACGGCTATGAATTACGATGTTGAAATTCATAAGCTTAGTGTTGCCTCAAGAAAAATACACCTTAAAATATTAATATACAACTAGTGTTGTTAAACGGCTAAGCCGAGTCGACTTAGCTATGACTCGAGCCTAGTTTCTAGTCGATAAAACAGCTCAGACTCGAGTCGACTAAATGAGCCGCATTAGTCGGCTCGCTTAGTCGGCTCGCTTAGTCGGCTCATTTAGTCGGCTCGCTTAGTCGGCTCACTTAGTCGGCTCGCTTAGTCGGCTCACTTAGTCGGCTCGCTTAGTCGGCTCATTTATGGCTCGCTTAGTCGGCTCACTTAGTCGGCTCACTTAGTCGGCTCACTTAGTGGACTCAGAGGTTAGCTTGAGTTTAATTTAAATTTAGAGTCAAAATTTATTTTTATGTTATTGAGATATTTTAAATAATAATGTAGAATTTTATTTATTTATTTTTAGTGAATAATTTATTTTATTTATATTTAATGTTAATATTTTATTATTATCAAACAAAAAATTTTTTTAACTTTTATTAATATGTTTTGATCTTATAATAAAAATGGATTTATTTATTTGATTTTTTTTAAATAAAAAAAAATTCATATTTTTGTCGAGCTAAAAATTTTAAGCAAAAAATAATTTTTGAACAAAAATATTGAAACATATTTTGTTGATTTTTTATTAATTTTTAACTTTTTTAAGAAATACTTTTGTTAATTTTATCATAAATAAATAATCTTTTAGGTCAAATCTTCTATAGTTTTTTTATATTATTTTCATAAATATATCTATATTTTAAGTTTATTATTAGAGGTGGCTTTTTCTAAATATTTTTTTAATAAATATATTTATATTTTAAGAATATTAAAAGAGGTGGTTTTTCTAAATTATTTTTTTATTAATATTTATGTCAAACTTTTTTTTAATGCCGCAATTGTCATATGCGTTATTTTTTAAGATTTTTGGACACAAAAGGGTTATAATATAATTTATATTGTAAAGATATTATATTATAAATTCAATGAAGATGTTCCCTGGAAAAATGATAATTATCATAATAGGTAGGTATATTTTTGAACATATAAGATTTTTTTGTGACGCTAATGGGCAAAAATATGTTTCTTTAACTGGTAAAATTTAATGTAGATGTACCCTAGATAAATGACAATTGTCATAATAGTTATTTTTAAAGTTTTTCGAATTTTTTTGACGTAAATGGGCTAAAATAAGCATTGCTAACATGTTAAAATAAAATTTAAGTGAAGATGTACCCTAGATAAGTGACAATTGTCATAATCGTTGAAGTTTTTCGAATTTTTTTGACGTAAATGGGCTAAAATAAGCATTGCTAACATGTTTAAATAAAATTTTAGTGAAGATGTACGATAGATAAGTGACAATTGTCATAATCGTTGTTTTTAAAGTTTTTCGAATTTTTTTGACGTAAATGGGCTAAAATAAGCATTGCTAACATGTTTAAATAAAATTTAAGTGAAGATGTACCCTAGATAAGTGACAATTGTCATAATCGTTTTTTTTAAAGTTTTTCGAATTTTTTTGACGTAAATGAGCTAAAATAAGCATTGCTAACATATTTAAATAAAATTTTAGTGAAGATGTACGATAGATAAGTGACAATTGTCATAATCGTTGTTTTTAAAGTTTTTCGAATTTTTTTGACGTAAATGGGCTAAAATAAGCACTGCTAACATGTTTAAATAAAATTTTAGTGGAGATGTACCATAGATAAGTCACAATTGTCATAATCTTTGTCTTTAAAGTTTTTTGAATTTTTTTGTCGTAAATGGGCTAAAATAAGCATTGCTAACATGTTTAAATAAAATTTTAGTGAAGATGTACCATAGATAAGTGACAATTGTCATAATCGTTGTTTTTAAAGTTTTTCGAATTTTTTTGACGTAAATGGGCTAAAATAAGCATTGCTAACATGTTAAAATAAAATTTTAGTGAAGATGTACGATAGATAAGTGACAATTGTCATAATCGTTGTTTTTAAAGTTTTTCGAATTTTTTTGACGTAAATGGGCTAAAATAAGCATTGCTAACATGTTTAAATAAAATTTAAGTGAAGATGTACCCTAGATAAGTGACAATTGTCATAATCGTTGTTTTTAAAGAGTTTCGAATTTTTTTGACGTAAATGAGCTAATATAAGCATTGCTAACATATTTAAATAAAATTTTAGTGAAGATGTACGATAGATAAGTGACAATTGTCATAATCGTTGTTTTTAAAGAGTTTCGAATTTTTTTGACGTAAATGGGCTAAAATAAGCATTGCTAACATGTTTAAATAAAATTTTAGTGAAGATGTACCCTAGATAAGTGACAATTGTCATAAAATCGTTGTTTTTAAAGTTTTTTGAATTTTTTTGACGTAAATGGGCTAAAATAAGCATTGCTAACATGTTTAAATAAAATTTTAGTGAAGATGTACCATAGATAAGTGACAATTGTCATAATCGTTGTTTTTAAAGTTTTTCGAATTTTTTTGACGTAATTGAGCTAAAATAAGCATTGCTAACATGTTTAAATAAAATTTTAGTGGAGATGTACCATAGATAAGTGACAATTGTCATAATCGTTGTTTTTAAAGGAATTTTTTTGACGTAATTGAGCTAAAATAAGCATTGCTGACAATTGTCGCATTAAAAAAAAGTTTGACATAAATATTAATAAAAAATAGAAATAAATTAAAAAGGAATAACTAAAATAAATAAAAGTTAAAGAAAAATTGACAAAAATTTAAAAAATATTATGATTTTCTTAGTACATCTTCACTAAATTTTTATTTAAACATGTTAGCAATGCTTATTTTAGCCCAATTACGTCAAAAAAATTCCTTTAAAAACAACGATTATGACAATTGTCACTTATCTATGGTACATCTCCACTAAAATTTTATTTAATAATGTTAGCAATGCTTATTTTAGCCCAATTACGTCAAAAAAATTCGAAAACTTGAAAAACAACGATTATGACAATTGTCACTTATCTATGGTACATCTCCACTAAAATTTTATTTAATAATGTTAGCAATGCTTATTTTAGCCCAATTACGTCAATAAAATTCGAAAAACTTTAAAAACAACGATTATGACAATTGTCACTTATCTATGGTACATCTCCACTAAAATTTTATTTAAACATGTTAGCAATGCTTATTTTAGCCCATTTACGTCAAAAAAATTCGAAAAACTTTAAAAACAACGATTATGACAATTGTCACTTATCTATGGTACATCTCCACTAAAATTTTATTTAATAATGTTAGCAATGCTTATTTTAGCCCAATTACGTCAAAAAAATTCGAAAAACTTTAAAAACAACGATTATGACAATTGTCACTTATCTATGGTACATCTCCACTAAAATTTTATTTAAACATGTTAGCAATGCTTATTTTAGCCCATTTACGTCAAAAAAATTCGAAAAACTTTAAAGACAAAGATTATGACAATTGTCACTTATCAATGATACATCTCCACTAAAATTTTATTTAAACATGTTAGCAATGCTTATTTTAGCCCATTTACGTCAAAAAAATTCGAAAAACTTTAAAAACAACGATTATGACAATTGTCACTTATCTAGGGTACATCTTCACTAAAATTTTATTTAAACATGTTAGCAATGCTTATTTTAGCCCATTTACGACAAAAAAATTCAAAAAACTTTAAAGACAAAGATTATGACAATTGTGACTTATCTATGGTACATCTCCACTAAAATTTTATTTAAACATGTTAGCAGTGCTTATTTTAGCCCATTTACGTCAAAAAAATTCGAAAAACTTTAAAAACAACGATTATGACAATTGTCACTTATCTATCGTACATCTTCACTAAAATTTTATTTAAATATGTTAGCAATGCTTATTTTAGCTCATTTACGTCAAAAAAATTCGAAAAACTTTAAAAAAAACGATTATGACAATTGTCACTTATCTAGGGTACATCTTCACTTAAATTTTATTTAAACATGTTAGCAATGCTTATTTTAGCCCATTTACGTCAAAAAAATTCGAAAAACTTTAAAAACAACGATTATGACAATTGTCACTTATCTATCGTACATCTTCACTAAAATTTTATTTAAACATGTTAGCAATGCTTATTTTAGCCCATTTACGTCAAAAAAATTCGAAAAACTTCAACGATTATGACAATTGTCACTTATCTAGGGTACATCTTCACTTAAATTTTATTTTAACATGTTAGCAATGCTTATTTTAGCCCATTTACGTCAAAAAAATTCGAAAAACTTTAAAAATAACTATTATGACAATTGTCATTTATCTAGGGTACATCTACATTAAATTTTACCAGTTAAAGAAACATATTTTTGCCCATTAGCGTCACAAAAAAATCTTATATGTTCAAAAATATACCTACCTATTATGATAATTATCATTTTTCCAGGGAACATCTTCATTGAATTTATAATATAATATCTTTACAATATAAATTATATTATAACCCTTTTGTGTCCAAAAATCTTAAAAAATAACGCATATGACAATTGCGGCATTAAAAAAAAGTTTGACATAAATATTAATAAAAAAATAATTTAGAAAAACCACCTCTTTTAATATTCTTAAAATATAAATATATTTATTAAAAAAATATTTAGAAAAAGCCACCTCTAATAATAAACTTAAAATATAGATATATTTATAAAAATAATATAAAAAAAACTATAGAAGATTTGACCTAAAAGATTATTTATTTATGATATAATCAAAAAAAGAATAAAATTTTATGATAAAACAAAAGAATTAAATTTCTTCAAAAAATTAGCAAAATATGTTTCAAAAATATTTTTTTCTTAAAATTTTTAGCTCAAAAATATTAATTTTTTTTTATTTAATAAATCCATTTTTATTATAATCAAATCAAAACATATTATTTGCATTAAATAAAATATAAATAAAATAAATTATTTTACTAAAAATAAATAAATAAAATTCTACATTATTATTTAAAATTTCTCAATAACTTTAAAATAATTTTTGGCTCTAAATTTAAAATAAACTCAAGCTACCCTCTGAGCCGACTAAGTGAGCCGACTAAGCGAGCCGACTAAGTGAGCCGACTAAGCGAGCCGACTAAGTGAGCCGACTAAGCGAGCCGACTAAGCGAGCCGACTAAGCGAGCCGACTAAGCGAGCCGACTAAGTGAGCCGACTCATGCGGCTCCTTGATCGGCTTGAGTCGGAGCCGTTTTTTACGACTACGACTCGAGTCGCAAGTCGTAAGAACTCGACTTTTTAACAACACTATATACAACCACAGCAGAATATTATAAAATAACTTTTTTTAAATTATTATATATCATTAAACTTAAATTAGAAAAATATTTTTAAACATAAAACACTCATTTCTTTAATAATTTTTTTAACACAAAATTATTCTGAAAATATATCAGATAATGGAATTGCCAAAATAACATAGTTGGCTAATTTACTCTGATGATATTGAAGGATGTAGATAAATTAGAATTAAGTTGACAGTTTGTGGCATTAATATTTATGGATAATCTCCCCAAAAATAATAAGTATTATTTAAACTGACGTATATCTTAGCCACCATACCCATAATGATATGCACTAATGAGGGTTTCATTTCACATTAAAGAGGAATAATGATGGATATCAGAACTGGTTCTGAAAATAGATATTCGTTTTTTCTATATATAGAAAAATCATATTTACGACCAAGTTCTATCATAAAAGGAGTTAAATTTTAAAATATAGGTCGCATCTACCTATATATAGTTTAGCATTTAATTTATTTTCTGACGCTGAATTTCTGAGATCCAGTAGTTAGGGATATGATGACTAATGTTAATACATCAATTTCTTATAGCAAAATTACCAAATACACCATGTTTATCTAATTGCGCAATAAACATTGTTATTTTATTACAGTCATCTACCGATTTGATAATTGTGATGTTTTTTGGAAAACATAGATTTAGATTATAAATTCAATATGAAATAATGAATATAATATTTAGTGTTTTTTTGCCGAATCCTTAACAAAATACTAAGAAAATTTTTAGTAACATCCCCTTGCTGTAAAAATAAATATCAATAGTATAAAGCAATATGAAATTAGATTAGATTTGGACTCTAGTTACTGAACACATTCAAAGAATGTTGTTTTTGTTTCCTAGAACAAATCAATGAGCGAAAAGGTATTTTGTTAATTTAGAGAGTAAAATTAAACCTATATCCACGCTCATTTTTTCTAATGATAATAGTTCGGGTGAAGTTATTGAACAGGATGATTTAGAGAAATTGATACAACTTAAAGAAAGGGAGGAGAAAATACTTAAAAGAAGGCCAACGATTGCAGAGAAAAGTATTGGAACGATAATGATTGAATTTGGGCGATTTTAAAAGATTGGATAAGAAGGAAAATATTTTGCATTTTTAGCTGCTAAACTGCAGTACCCTGATTTATATATTTTATTCGTAATCTTATTTGCTATTCCTGCAACCCAAGTTAATTTATTATATTTTCACATAAATATATATAATATTAGTGTTGAAGGATCTTTTTCACATTTGAAATTCATTCTATCACTAATCGAGGATGAGCGAACAACTCATGGAAGAATTATGCTAATACGTCTAAATAATTTTTTTTAAATTGATACATGACTATGTTTTATATTTTCAAATATATTTTGCCCATAAATAAAATAAAAATTCTAATTTTTATACTAAATTTATGTCTAGTTTTTTAATTTTGATTTAAAAATATAATTTTTTTTTATCAATTGAACCACCTACTTAAATTATATTACGCTTGAATCGAACCCGGCTACTTGCTCAAATGTTTTACTAATTGGGGCGGACCCTCTACAAGGATAATATCGTTGAAGTCTGCTGATCCTTCCAATCTTAAACTTAAATAGCCATGAAGGTAATTCATATCTCTACAGCATTCTATTCATAAAACACTACTGTACCCTATCTATTATATCACCAAGTTTGCAATATATATGTTTATATCCTTTTTCTATCTAATAGGTGTAGTGGAAGGTAGATTTGGGATGCTTAAACGTTTCACGCTTTTAAAATGTTACTGACCCCTGAGGAAACTTAATGGGTTTTATATAACTTTATTGTGTGTCATTTCAGAAACAGTGAATATTGGTAGGTAAAAATTATATTATGTATGGAAGCGGTAATAGTTTCTACTTAAAAAAGAAATGAGGTCGATTTTCGATTAGACAAAAATCAAAGGAAAAGAGATAAAATGGGGATAATTAAGCGAAAGGAAGGAACAAAAATTTTCGAATAAAACATTTTATGAGTCAACGTATTTCAAAAATAAGTTAGTGATATTTATTACCCTGCATTCACAGTTAGCGAAAATTCGCCAATAAGTAAACAGAAGAATTATTGTATACTTCGCAGCTAATCCACGCTAACTATGAATGCAGGGTTAGCTGATTTTCCAGGTAATCATTGATTTTAGAGAGAGTGTGCTTAAAATGGGTGTAGAAAAAAGAGGCACAAAATTTTAATATATTTTTTTTTATTATTAAAAATTAAATATAAATGGTTCATAGTTTAAATGAATTCAAAATATAAGTTAAATCTTATTTTAAATTCATAAAAAAAACAAAAAATTCAAATATTTAATGTTTTGGACAAAGTTCTAAAATTGTATATATACAGTCAAACCTGTCTAATTTGAACTCTTGATGGGCAATTTCCTAAAAAAAAATTTGTGTCCCAATCAAATTCCTATTAAAAAATGCCTTGACAAGTTTGACTGCAGCAAAACCTGACTAATTTGGGCATCGCATTTTTTTAATACATAGTAGTTAATAGGAATATGATTGAGACTAAATATTTTGGTCAAATTAGGGAATTGCCCGAAAACAAAAACCCAAATTAAATAAGTTTTACTATATATAAATAATTACTTTTCTTTGATAGTTAAAAATTCTTTGCCTTGCTTCCTCCTTTGTTGTTCTCTTTTTCTGGATTCTTCTTCTTCTTCTTTCTCTTTTTCTAATCTGCGTTTCTCTAAAGTTTTTTGTAATCTATTAAAATAACATTACAATTGTGAAATGATTTATGACGAAATTATTTTATAACTTTACATTCTTTAATTCAGTAAAACTTCCAAAGGTGACCATTTCCAAGGCCAATATAGTTATTCCTATTAGATATTATATATAAAACGTTTACGAAAAAATCGTTTATGACCATTAAAGAAATCATATAACGCACCTCTCCCAACCAACTCTTTCAAATCCGAAAAAATTTGATATATATACTATAGTTAGAACAGAAACAAAATATGATTCTAGCTTTTATATTACCTGAGATTAAGGTTAAAAGTCAAAAATTTTATATTTTTACCTCTTTCAGATATAAACTAATTATTTATTAATTAAAAACTAAATCAATTTAAATATTAAAATTTGAAGTCATCACTAAAGATAGTAAGGTAAAAAAAATAAAATATTTAAATTTTTGTTACACTGGTCTCTTAAATTTGAAATAATATTTTTAAATGATAAGAAAAGTATTTACAATTTTTATAAGAAATCACTTTATTGTTTAACTGTCTAATTTTCTTTCAATAATTTGTGCGGCCAACAAATAATATGTCTAAAAAATGAATATACATAAATATTTTAACGAATAAAAGCTTTTCTAAAAAATTGTTATAAAATATTTGATGAAATAATCAATTCATTGACAATATAATGAATATCAGGGATGTGAGCCCGAACACTAGTGTTTTTGCTGAATCCGAACCCTTTTCAAAAGTTGAAAGTTCAAGGTATCCAAAAATAAAATTACAAATTTCTTAAAATAATAATTTTTACAAATAAATGAATTCATGCAGACAAAGAGATTTTCGCCGACCATGTTTCAAATTTTTTTGCTTCCATTTTGGTAATCACAATTAGTCTTGTTAAATGGCTTGATTTGAGTTTTAAAAATGTCTAACTCACCCAAAAAAATATTAGCAAGCCTGAAGATTTTGTTCACAGATAACACAAAGGTTTGGACAACTATTAATGTAATCTAAAGGCTTAATATTTTTCTAAATAAAATATTGAGTTAGCAGTTTTTAAAAATAAGCTCAAATCGAGCCATTTAACAACACTAATCATAATCAGTTAATAAATAATCTATTATTTTTAATCGAAGATCCTTATCATTTTAAGACATTCATTTTTAACTTACTATGGACGATGACCAATCTAATAAAAATTTAAGATTTTTTCAGATTATCAAAAATTTATTTAGTTCTTGGTTCAGAAAATTTAAAGAATAAAATGATTTGGTTTTAATTAACTAGGGAGTGCCAAAAAAACGATCTGATATCATCATTATTTTGGGTTATTTTATGATTGTATATATTGTACTGGGATATGAAATCCATGGGATTAAAAATTTTTTCAATTTTAATTCATATACTGAAGGCAATTTTTAAATTTGAAAAATCTGATTTGGCTGGAAATATATTCTAGCATGTATAGCCAACACACTGTAAATTTAAAACAATTCTGCTGTAACTTTTGAGCTATTCTTAATTTTTAACATAAATTTTATATAAATACACAATGTTTATGGCAAAAATTGTCTGAAATTCATAGGGTAAGTACTCAACAAACATAATGATATATAAAAAATCTAACTAATTAAAAAAAAAGTGTAGAAATGTGATATATTTGTAAGAAAATAATTTAAAATGAGTCAAATAGAGCCATAAACTTTATCCATGTTTTAAATGAGATGAATAATATTAGGAATAAAAAAAATACACTCAACTTAGCCATGAGAAAAGAAAAATTTCATGCTTTATTTATAGTTTAGTTATTTTTATTACATAAAATTCGTGTTGGAAACGAGCGCGTTCATAGTGAACGAACTTCATTCTTTGAAAAAAATGATGAATTAGTTCTTTTTATTTTTGACGAACTTTGAACGTGAACGCGTTCCTTTTTTTATGACGAACGCGTTCGAATTTAACGTTCGTTCAATATTAAAAACACTTTATTTTTATTTGTTTGAAAAATTTAATGTTAATCCAATTTTTTTAAGAAAAAAGTTATATTTTATAATCAACTGTTTTTCCTTTTTCACATTTAAATTTTTTAAACACGCCATTATTATAGTCTATTAATTTGAATATTATTGTTTATATTTTAATTTAATAGATTAGTATAAGCATGGATATTATTATTTCATCATAATTATCTGATTCTGAATTCAAAATTAGATGAATTAACACCATGGCCCAAATTTGATAAATATTTTACAGTAACATCCTATATTGAAGGAACTAATTCAATACTTACCAAATGTAAAATGTGCCCTCTTCAAGTTCCAATTCAAAACGACATTTGATTATAAAATTACTAATATAATATATTATAACTAAGTAAAATCATTAAATTTGAAGAAAAAATGCATTTGAGCTACATGACGCCAACCGATAGTTATTTTAACAATAAAAAAATTAGTAGCCTAAAATATGGTCAAACATTGATAGACGAAATATTAAATGGGATTAATAAAAGATATTAAACCTATCACCTTCAAATTAATTATACATATATTTTATTTTTTTAAAGATTTGAACATATATATATATATAAAGATCAATAAGTTCTTTCTGTAATTATTAATCCAGTATTCAAGCTTCAATGGCATGGATAAAACTTCCACACAACAAATCTATAAAAAATTGAAGCGAAGGACAAAACAATAAATGTTTTTAATAAATTCCCCATGTTAAGAGTTGTTTATAAAATATAATACTGCAAAGAGTGTGTTTACTGCCAAGCGTTCCTCTCTATCAAATTTTTAAAACTAATGTTAATATAATTAATAAGAAATTTTTTTTATAATATAAATATCTTTTTATTTGTTATATTATGTTGTATTTATAATTATATTATCAAAATAAAATATCTAATATATTGCGTTAAAAAAATATAAAACATTTATTTATATTAAATTAAATTAAAAAAAAATTTATTATAAAATTTTGAATGAACGTGAATTCATTCCTTTTGTTTGGAAGTGAACGTGAACAGGTTCAATTTTTTTCAATGAACGTTGAATGTGTTCAATTTTTTTAGAAATGTTTACAACACTACATAGAATATTATTACCTTTTTTTTATTATTTTAGAAAGATATAAAATAAAAATTAATGTAAATATCAGATTGATATTGGTTATCAGATTGAATTCATATGAATATCAAAAAATATCAGAGAGGGTGAATGAATAATTTGTGGAACTGTATACTAATTATTTATCCAAAATGGGTTTAAAAGGGGGGTTTATCTTTATTAGCTCCTAATAATCAGGTAATATAAAAGCTAGGATGAAAGGGCAAGTTCTAATAAACAGCAAACTATTTGACAGTTTTGGCTTCATAGAGAAGATATAATGACAAATGCAAAACCTCAAGCAAATTTCTTCATTAATTGTACAATAAGAATAAATATTTTATAATATATATATAGTTTATTATTTTATAAATATTTTCAAATAAAATAGTGAAAGAGTTTTGTATAGTTTTGGAGTTATATATATTTAAGGTAGGTAGTAATCATTTTTAGATAGCTCAATATTAATACAACTTTGTGCTAAGGTAAGTATTCCTTGGTTAAAAAATAAATTATTTTGCTATTTATGTAGATAATTAGGTAAAGAAAATGCCTTGTAACATAACAAAAATTTATAAAATGTGTTAATAATACCTTTATAGAAGTTTTACAGCATGTGTAATTTAATTTAAGATGTCATAAAACATATTTTTTTACTCTTCAACTTTAAGTTTTTTTTCTTCCTCTGTTAATGGTTTTAATTCTTCATTACTCTCTTCAAAATCAGCATGACCAGTTTTAGAAGCATGAATGGCTGCTATTTCATCATTTTTAAATAATTTTTGACATCTACAAGTAAATTTAAAAAATTATTGAGAGAAAAAACTTACATTTTGCATTTAAATGTGTTAGACTTTTTATTATTTTCTAACTTATCATCCTCAACCTTTTGACTGATTAATGAATCAAGAGTTTGTTGACCAGCAGATTTTGATGGATCAAATGAATCAACACTTTTTTGATCAGTTGATTTTGATGGCAGGGTAGTTTGTAGGGAATCATTAGCATTTTCAAAAACTTCGTTTTCTTCCATCCTAAACAACTATCATATAAAGAAATTTAAATAAATAACCATGTGATGAGTTGGCCAATATCTTGACTGCCTGTGGTCAAAATAGCCTGAAAACTATTTAAAAAATTTAGTTAACTATATCAAAAATTAAAACATTTTTTGCAAAGGAAATCCCATTTCCATTAATAAGTCAGTAGAGGTAGTTTCCTCGGCCATCGATTTAAAAAAATTCGCTTAAAAAGACGGCACTTTATCGAAATAAAATGATAAACCAAATCATATTTTGCATTATAATAATTACATCGTTTTTCTAATATAGCTCTACTGTCCTAATAACCAGATTAGTGTTGTTAAACGACTCATCCGAATCGGCTTAACTACGACTCAAGTCGAGTTTTTAGTCAAAAAATCAACTCAAAACTCAAGTCGAGTTTTTAGTCGATAAGTCGACTCATTTTTACGACTCGAGTTCCGAACTTGAGTCTTGAACTCGAATTATGTTGAACTAGAGTTATGAACTCGAGTCGTGAACTCAGTTATGAATTTGAATCGTGAACTCAACAGGTTATCTTAAATTTATGAAACTTGATTAGTTATATAGTGTTGTTAATTGGTTGGTTGGCTCTTAAAATCTGTAATGAGCACGAACCCCGATCACAGATCCGTGGTTCAGGCCCATATATTTTAATTTAAGTTATTTCTTATTGAACATATTATAGTATATAAATATATGGTTATTAGAGATAAATCGATTGATAATTAAAATACCTATTGAATAGGCAAAAAGTCAAGCTCCACTTCTCGATGAGTGAAGTTATTTCTACGTAGGTCAGGAATAATTTTATCAAAATCAAATATTGATATGATAATGCATGGATATCAAATAAATATAGTTTTAACTACCTTTATATGGTGTATATTAATTTGACCGGGAATAATAAATTAATATAGTTACTCATATTTGTTCGTGAAATTTTTTTTTAGCATTGCACTTAATTAAACTTAATGGGCATGTATGGATCTTAACATTTTATTTTTAACTTTGTACAATATTAAGAGAATAATATCTGCTAGATTATCAAATTAAGTTTTAAGATTTTTAAATAATTTTAACGGAAATTTTGATAACATGAATGGAAAAAATCAATTCCTAAAATTAATCCTGTATGGAAATAAAGAGGTTTCTAGTAACATTTCCCCTAAATTTAACTTCCATTTCCATCTCCTTTAAAAATTTGTAAGCAATATTATATATTTTTTTATAAAAAATTATTTAATATTTCAAAAAATCTTAAATATAAAAAAGAAATTAATTTTATAATAAAATAAAAAACCAAATCGCCTATCTGGCACCTAATTAAGGAGTGGGGGATTTTTTAAATTTTTTTTTGCATCTAGTTAAATTTTATAATTACAATGAAAAAATCGAATAAATAAAAAAAATTTTTGGATCAACAAATTCATTGTTCCATTTATTTTATTATTTAATATTTTTATAAAAATAAAAAAAATATATATTTCTTATGATTTTAAATATAATAAAATCAGGAAAATAATAGTTCATAAATATATGAATAGGAAGGAGTTTATGCTTCGAGCAACCTCTTTATTTCAAAATATAATTTTAAGAATTATTTTTTCTCTTCATGTTATTAAAATTTCCGTTTACGTAGAAACAGCTTCACTCATAGAAAAGTGGCGCTTGAATTGTTGCATATTCAATAGGTCTTTTAATTATCTATCAATTAATCTGTAATAACCATATATTTAACCAATAAGTTTAATAAGAAATAACTTAAAATACATGGGCCTCGTGCTCTTAGCAGATTTAGTTTAATTTTAGAGCCAAGCGCCAGGTCTGGGTATTAACAACCTAGTGTTGTTAATCGGCTTAGCCGAGTCGGCTCGAACAGAGCTCACCCAAATTTTGGGTCGTTTTTTTCGACTCCAACTCAAAGTTTTGGTCGTTTTTTACGACTTCGACCCAAGTTCAAGCCGAAAAAAACGACTTCGACCCAAAATATGGGTCGTTTTTTTCGACTCCGACCCAAGTCCAAGCCGAAAAAAACGACCTCGACCCAAAATATGGGTCGTTTTTTACGACTCCGACTCAAAATTTGGGTTGTATTTTTCGACTCAAACTTGAAATTTGGGTTGTATTTTTCGACTCAAACTTGAAGTTTGGGTCATATTTTTCGACTCAAACTTGAAGTTTAGATCGTATTTTTCGTCTCCAACTCAAAGTTTGGGTCGTTTTTCTGACTCAGATTCAAACATCGGGTCGTTTTATTCAATCCGACCCAAAATATGGATCTTTTTTTATAAAGACGACTTAAAGTTAGAGTTGCTTTTTCACCCCTAACCTAATATCTAGATCATTTTTTTCGACCAAAAGTCAAATAACATTTAATATATATTAATATTATCGGCGGGAAAGTTACTTAAAGCTTCTTTAAATTATAATATTCATCAGTTATATTTTAAAATTTTTAAGTGAAGATGTACCATAGAAAAGTGCCATTTGTCATGATGGTTATTTTTGAACTTTTTTAAATGAAATAGATAAAAATATATATTGTATAGACATGTTAAATCAAAATTTCAGTGATGATGTACCATAGATAAGTGGTAATTGTCATAATCGCTATTTTTGAACTTTTTTGAGGTTTTTTAAAGCAAATTGCTAAAATTATATATTCTAAACATGTTAAATTAAAAATTCAGTGAGGATGTATCATAGATAGGTGACAATTGTCATAATCGCTATTTTTGAACTTTTTAAATTTTTTTAAAGGAAATATCTAAAAATATATATTCTAAACATGTTAAATTAAAAATTCAGTGAGGATGTTACATATATAGGTGACAATTGTCATATGCGCTATTTTTATTTTTAGATATTTCCTTTAAAAAAATTTGAAAAAATTCAAAAATAGCGATTATGACAATTGTCACCTATCTAAGATACATCCTCACTGAATTTTTAATTTAACATGTTTAGAATATATATTTTTAGATATTTCCTTTAAAAAAATTTGAAAAAGTTCAAAAATAGCGATTATGACAATTGTCACCTATCTATGATACATCCTCACTGAATTTTTAATTTAACATGTTTAGAATATATATTTTTAGCTATTTCCTTTAAAAAAAAATTGAAAAAGTTCAAAAATAGCGATTATGACAATTGTCACCTATCTATGATACATCCTCACTGAATTTATAATCTAACATGTTTAGAATATATATTTTTAGATATTTCCTTTAAAAAAATTTGAAAAAGTTCAAAAATAGCGATTATGACAATTGTCACTTATCTATGATACATCCTCACTGAATTTTTAATTTAACATGTTTAGAATATATAATTTTAGCAATTTGCTTTAAAAAAACTCAAAAAAGTTCAAAAATAGCGATTATGACAATTACCACTTATCTATGGTACATCATCCCTGAAATTTTGATTTAACATGTCTACAATATATATTTTTATCTATTTCATTTAAAAAAGTTCAAAAATAACCATCATGACAAATGGCACTTTTCTATGTTACATCTTCACTTAAAAATTTTAAAATATAACTATGATGAATAGTTAATCAGAGCATTATAATTTAAAGAAGCTTTAAGTAACTTTTCCGCCTATAATATTAATATATACTAAATGTTATTTGACTTTTGGTCGAAAAAAATGATCTAGATATTGGTAGGGGTGAAAAAAGCAACCCTAACTTTAAGTCGTCTTTTAAAAAAAGATCCATATTTTGGGTCAGATTTAATAAAACGACCCGATGTTTGAGTCTGAGTCAGAAAAACGACCCAAACTTTGAGTTGGAGTCGAAAAATACGATCGAAACTTCAAGTTTGAGTCGAAAAATACGACCCAAATTTTGAGTCGGAGTCGTAAAAAACGACCCATATTTTGGGTCGAGGTCGTTTTTTTCGGCTTGGACTTGGGTCGGAGTCAAAAAAAACGACCCATATTTTTGGTCGAAGTCGTTTTTTTCGGCTTGAACTCGGGTCGAAGTCGAAAAAAACGACCCAAAGATTGAGTCGGAGTCTAATAAAACGACCCGAGCTTTGGGTCGGGGTCGCGACTTGCGGCGTTTTAACAACACTATAACAACCAATTAACAATACTAATATAAGTAATCGAGTTTCATAAAATTTAAGATAACCTGTTGAGTTCACGACTTAAGGTTATAACTAGTTCACGACTCAAGTTCATAACTCGAGTTCATGACTTAAGATCAAAACTCAAGTTCATCAAGATCAAAACTCAAGTTCATGACTCAAGATAAAAACTCAAGTTCATGACTCAAGATAAAAACTCAAGTTCAGAACTCGAGTCGCGACTTGAGTTCACGACTCAAGTTCGGAACTCGAGTCGTATAAATGAGTCGACTAATCGACTCAAAACTCGACTTGAGTTTTGAGTATAGTTATTGTGACTTCGACTCGGAGTCGTAGTCGGGTGAACTCGACTTTTTAACAACACTAAACCAGATCAATATTTTTTTGTATAAATTAGCCGCATATATCCTAATAAAATAATCAAACTAATAACTTTATATTACCACTTATATATAATATAAAAAATATATAACTCAATCTTAATATTTTCACTTTTATTTTCAATCAAGATTAAAATATATAATATTACATAGTTAAAATTTATAATAATTTCTTAGCTCTAGTCTCTTCAAATTTATAAGTTAAAGAATAATTACCAACATTTATATAATTATAAAATATTATATAATCACAATTATAAATTATCAACATATCAATCAAACATTTATATAACAGCAATTATCGTAATTGAATATTTTCATTCATTATATTGATTGTGTTAATAACATGTTAATCATTATATCATTCTTTCAAAGAATTATATTATTATTCTAGTTTTAGATTAAATTTGTATATTTCTATTTTATTTGTGAACATAATTTATTCAAAATTTCTACTTCTTCATTTGGGATATTAGCATTTTTAAATGCTAATATTGGAAACGGATAAAAAATAGAATCAAATTTTGAAAATACTTGTTTAGAAATAAGGTATATTTTGCATAGATTATTCTTTGGTCAACTTTGTAAATAATAATATTCTCTTTTAAGTTACTCAATCGAGTAATTTGTTATTCCTATTTATATTTATGAAAAAAAATCTAATACAAATAAGGAATAATATTTCAATAGGCTTAATTTAAAATATAAATATATATTTTTTTGTTATGTAAATTCAGCATAATTAAAATACATATCAACCAATGATGTCTATGATATCAACAATATGAAAAATTATATGCCTCCATTTTAGGCTACTTTACAAAATATATTATTAATTTGGGATATTTGCTATAACGAAATTAATTTCATGTTCGGAGCCCCTCAAACGAAAACTAATACGGGGTTTAGTTTTGGTACCTTGGCATCAACTAGCGGTAGAATGATTTACATGAATATAATTAAAATTATATTTAGCCAGTACCTTTTCATTTGGATTGCCTGCAACCTCGACCCCTTTTGCCAGTGCTCTTAACATTGGGACACCACAAACTAGTACAAATGCATCGAGTGCTTCATCATTTTTTAATTTTGGTATTGAACTCTAATAATTCTAATTTAATACATTTTGATAAGGTCAATCTACAACAGCTAATTCCTTTGGTCAATTATTTGGAAGTAATCCTTCATTTGGTATTTAGATAAATATATATTATTGTTTTATTTCTAACATTAAAGGTACCAATATAACTACTACAACACACCCATCACTATTCTCATTTAGTAATTAGGTTTTTTTTTTATTATATAACATTTTATATAGCTCAATCATCTAACTCTATTCTACCCTCAACTTCATCTAATATATTTGCATCAACAACAAATCAATCTCTTTTTGGATTTAATCCAACAGCCACTACTATTTCATCAATTTTTTCTACTCAATCTACTACCACACCCTTATTTAGCATAAATACTCCAAATATAAATAGTAAGATATAAATATTTTACTCCTACCCATATATTGACACCTAATATAGCATTGTTTCCTTCTCAACTTACAACCACTACAACCTTTATGCCCAGTTCATGTATAACTCAATCAAGTATATTTAATTTTGCCACTTCAACAAATCACACAACTGTTCCTTCATCTCTAAATTTGTTAAATCAACAACCTGCAACATTTAGTATTAAAAAGTTTTATATTCAAATTAAAATTATCAGAGATGCACTGATTCAACTTTTTTTGCCAATATCACCCACTGATAACAATATAGTTGGCTAATATCACCAATATAAAAAAAAAATTGACAGAACTGTTTATTTGTAAGAAAATATATAATTTCCCCCAAAATAATCTTTATTTATATTATTAATTTAAGCCATAAGAATACCTTTCAATATTACTAAACTTGTAATTATTTTATTGCATATATATCCTTCATAATAAGTTAATTCATACAAAACTTTAAAGAGTAAAAAGAAAGAAAAAACTAACCCATTTTATTTTAAATTTATGAGTGTAAATTATTATGTTGGGTATCTACCACAGAATCTGGTAAAATGGATATATACCAACACAGGAGTATCTATTTCAGTGCATCTCTAATAATTACTTTTAATTTTTACTTTTAATTTTTACTTTTAATTTTTACTGTGACAGATTTTGGATTTGCATCTTCTCTGCAGCAACCATCAAATATTAATGTACCTTCTAGTACTGTTAATTCATCTCAAACTACAGCTTGTGGTATCATTTCTGGATTTGGATCTACACCAACATTTAGTTTTGATAAATCTCTTCCAATATTTCCACCATCTAATAGTGGTATTGCTGTGACAACATTAGTAACTTGTGCCACCACAGAAAGCTTTAATTTTGGTACAAGTTTATTTTCAAGTATGAATTTAAATCTTTATTAAATTAATGTAGTTAACTAAATTAAAGAATAAGAAGGCTATTCAAAATTTATTATTATGTGATATTATAATAAAACTTTAAATGATATATCAGGGTCATTCCATTCTAAACTGATCTAGGCTTGGTACCCCTCTCAAATTGAAAAAGACTAAGATTCTTGTTGGTACCCTTCTCAAATTGAAAAAGTCTAAGATTCTTGTAATCTATACTCAGGCAAAATTTTAGCCTCCTGGCTTTTAAATTTAAAAATATTTATGGTCAAAGGGTCATTCCATGTCAAATCAATCACTTTTTGGCCGACCCCTTTCGATTTTGATGAAAAATCGTAGGCTGGTTATATATGTTCCCATTAGATTAGAAATAAAATTTTAGCGGATGAGCAACTATATTAGCGGAGATATTCGGGGTTAAAGGTCTAAAAACGTCTTTTTTTGCTTTTTACTGATGTTAAATAACTAGTTTTTAATTTTAAACTAAATATGATCAAATATTGAATATAATATCAATAGCTAAGTTAATAATTTATGATTATGGCAAAAACATCAAAATTAATTTTTGATAAAATATGGGTCATCTTATGGTCAGTTGAAAACTTGAAATTAATATTTCGAAATGTATATGATCTCCGATTTTTAATTTTTTTAAGAAATATTATCCGTTTACTATTTTTTTAATAATTTCTTCAACAATTAGCATGGCTAGATATTTATTTTAAAAAATATTGCGATTTTTATACTTTAAAAAAAATAGATGGCGCTATATATAATAGTTTTAATATGTTAAAATTCATTTTTTTATTGATTAAAAATATTTTAATGTATATATATCATACTAAATCGATTACAATGTCCATTATATATATTTATTTGTAATTCAGATCATAAATTTTTAAAATCTTCACAAATTTAGCCTAATTAAGATAGTTTATAAATTAATTAAATCTTACTTCATCTAAAGGAACACAAAGCCTGGCTAGCTTGTGAGATTTCTTCAGGAGATAATATATATGTTCGACCGGTGGGAGTAGAAGGATTGACCAGCGAAAGAATATGAGATTTAGGTAACACTAAAATATCATCTTTCAGGGGAAATTTAAATGAGGCTGAAGGTCCACAAGGGTGTAAAAATCGGATTTTTACTTCTTCATTTGTATCATATTTATCGATTATATATCCTAACCACCATTTATCATCATATACACATGTTACATATCCATTAATATTTTTAAATATAATTTTTTCATTTAAAAACGAAACTTGTTTTATATTATATTTTTTAGAATTTGAATATATTTTGGTTTTTAGTCTATTTTGATCAATGGGAATAACCACGTGAATTTTTAAGGTCCCATGTATGGGCAGCGCAGAATTAAATCTTTTGCGAAGGGCTAATTCCCCTTCGATATATTCTTGATTGGATATATATTCAAATTGAATTCCATTAATATTTTCTTTAGCATAATTATATAATTCTAATGGGGTTAGGATTTGATTTTTATTTGGCCTTTGAAGACTAGCTCTGGCAACTAATCTTTTGACAGTTCCCCCGATACCGTCACATGCATTTTTGCCGTGAGCAGTGGCAAAGAAATGCCATTCGGCAGGAATATTAAAATCGTATTTATGAAGGCATATGTTCAGAAAATTTTTGCGATTCTTGTATTGAGACCCAGCTCCATCTGAAAAATATATTATTTTTTCTGGTTTAGAATTAAATTTGGCTGTTAAGAAATTAATAAATTTTTTTTGGTAAAGGTGGACTGCACTAGTATTATGGTTTAATGATTCGGATATAATAACAAAATTTATATTTTTTAAATCTTCTCCAGATTTATAATATGCTACAAATGGATGTATAGTGGCCTGCACGTTGTTCCAATGAAATCCCTGAACTTCATCTTGTAAAATGAAGAAATAATTTTCAGAATAATCTAGAATTGTTAAAAATTCCCCATCTTTTAAATTTTCTTTGGAATTCTTCAAAAATAAACTTTGTTGTTTACCTATAAACGAGTGACGCAGTAAAATTTGAACTTTTTCTAATAAATAATCGATGAAATCATCAACGGACTTTATAATAGTTTCAAGATTTGTTCTATCCACCGTGATCCATTGTTTAAACGTGACATATTCTATACGATTTCTCTGAAACAATTGGTATAATTGTCCCTTAAGAGATTCTATACCAGGGCATTGATCACAATTTGTTAAATAACATTTTGGCTGAGATGGATTACAAATAATTTGCGCCAATAGATAGTTGTAAGAATTTATACAGTAATCTTCTCCTGCTGTAATTTCAACTATTACATTTGTCATTAATTTCACATTCTGATGAATAGCGCAGACACAAACAGTGTGTGTGCCACTAGCTCCAACTAAAATACAGTTTTTTGGTCTAAGTTTGGCAAATTTAGAGAATCCAATTGATATATTTGGGTATTCTTCCTTAAACATCTTGAATATTTCTTTAAGATTATTTAATATAAGTCTTTTTTGAACTGGTTCTTTCTCGCCTTTAACAGATACACAATCTTTTATTCCTGGCATGAGTCGGCTTATTTCATCAGAACTATAAAAATCCTTGACGAGTTTAAATGTTTTTTCGTTTAGTATCTTTCCTGCCTTATGTTTTGGAAATGAAAGAATTCCACTTTCTTTTACCATTATTTTAGATTTTCTTGCCATGTATGATGTTACGTTGAATTCCTTTTGAATTTTATTTACACTCCATCCTTGAGGCAAAATTGTAAGAATTTGATATTGTTGATTTTTTGATAATTTATCAAAGTTATCCTTTAATATAATAAGAATTTCCTCTTTCATTGGACTATCAATCTCGGAATCAGATATTTCTAAAACCTTACTCTTTATTGCTTTTTCAATCTTTTGAATTTTATTTTTAGGATATTTTTTCTCCATTAAACGTTTTCTTTTAATTGGTGATTCTCCAATATTGTGTAATGTTTCATTAATCGATTCAAAGGCATCCTGATTATGGGTTATTGGGGATATAAATTCTTCGGGAATATGTGGACCAATTTTACTTAACTGGTATCGGCACGAATTACATATTTTTTGTTGAAGATATAAATGATTATTTATATTAAGCATCCATGGAAGAACTGATCTTAAATTTTTTTTAAAATTTTTATGATTAACTTTATTCAGTGGATTGCAACATTTTATCTTATCTTTTAAGGGTTTCATTTAAAAAAATTTATTTATTTTTAAATGACAAGTAAAAATATTTATATGTAAAAGATATGAATCGGTGTTTGTGAAAAAATATTAAAGAAATCAATTTGTATTTTTAGCAACTGATTTATCGATTAAATTCGCTAATTAATTTTGCTAATCAGTTTATTTTTAATAATTTTAAGAAAAGATAAAAACAGCTGACTTACTTTTATTAATTTTTTCAGTGTTAAACATATGCTCAAAATTCAAAGACTTTGATCAAAAATTTTATAGAGAATGCTCAAATTCATTTGATACCCAAAATTTTATAACTAGTTAATTTTTTGTTAATTATATTGCTTAAAATTTTTTTAAAAATCTTTGAAATTTTCTGGTTAATGACAATTTTATAACATTCTTGGTCTTGATGGGTATGACTTAGTCTGGAGGGGGGATGGGGGGTAGGCCGGGTAATTATATGATTTTCGATTTTTCCCTTAATAATTTTCCTGCACTCCTTTAATCCTGCTTTTTTGTTCGCATGTTAGTCGGATTTTTTAATTATTTTTAATTTACATTGAAATATTAAAAAAATTATTAAAATTTTTTATCCTGCGAATATCTCAAGGGAATAAGGTTTACAAAGTTATATAATCTAATTTTATGATATATTATACATTAAAATATTTTTAATCAATAAAAAAATAAATTTTAACATATTAAAACTATTATATATAGCGCCATCTATTTTTTTTAAAGTATAAAAATCGCAATATTTTTTAAAATAAATATCCAGCCATGCTAATTGTTGAAGAAATTATTAAAAAAATAGTAAACGGATAATATTTCTTAAAAAAATTAAAAATCGGAGATCATATACATTTCGAAATATTAATTTCAAGTTTTCAACTGACCATAAGATGACCCATATTTTATAAAAAATTAATTTTGATGTTTTCGTCATAATCATAAATTATTAACTTAGCTATTGATATTAGATTCAATATTTGATCATATTTAGTTTTAAATTAAAAACTAATTATTTGACATCAGTAAAAAGCAAAAAAGACGTTTTTTGGACCTTTAACCCCGATTATCTCGGCTAATATAGTTGCTAATGCGCTAAAATTTTGTTTATAATCTAATGGGAACATATATAACCAGTCTACAACTTTTTATCGAAATTAAAAGGGGTCGGCCGAAAATCTTGATTTTTTTGCTCATTTGACATGGAATAACCCCAAAGCATGAAAAAAATTCTTTTTTTGTGTATGTCTATATTCATTAATTTATTGATTAATTAAAATTGCGCAATTATATTTAATAAATTTAGTAGTAAAATAAATAATGTACTTTTTATCCACAATAAATCTAAGTAAAAAATAAAAAGTAATTTTTAAAAATTTCTAGACCTCTTATTCCTAGAATAAAATTTTAAATCTTGATAACAAAAATTGATCATTTATTTTTATGAAACCTTAGATAAACATTACTATTACCATTTGAAAAAAAATTAGAGTGGAGCCAATAAAACTTCATAGGCAAAAATCGATAAAAAATGTAAAAAATATTTATATACTATTTTAATTTTTATAAGCCTAATATTCTTTATATTGTATTTTTACAAATTTTCTATATAATAACTTTTCTATGTCATTCTTATTCAACACTAATCCATTCAATATTATTGGTGATAATTCATTCGCTATAATTCATTCGCGGTATAACTTTTGCTGCAATGCATTCGCGATAATGCTTTTAACTAGAGATGTAAAATTCTCGGGAAAATTGGTTCAGGGG